GGAGAATGTTCAGGAACAACTTAAAACCGAAGAATGTTCAGGAACAACTCAACAACCGGAGAATGTTCAGGAACAAATCAACAACCAGAAAATGTTCATCCGAAAACAAAAATATTTGATGATTTTTCTTTACATGTATTCCTTTTTTTGGTTCCGTTACTTCCTGTTTTGCGGTATTCTTATCCCAGTGTCAACCAAAAATACAGAACCCTGTAAATAATAAACTAAACAAGAACATTGTGTAGATTGCACACACAGGGGAAAAATGTGTTTGATCCAAAAATTGTAGGAAAAAAGGGGAAAGTTGTGAGTGGGCGGAGTAACAGAGCAGGTGTGTCTCTCCACCTGGCGGACCGACTGAGGAGGGGAAGACATGGGGAGGTGGGGGGGGGGCTGGTTCTGGACCTCACCTCGAGGCCCGGTAATGACGGGCCGGTGGTGGTGTGTGAAAGCCATTCGGGGAGAGGAGGAGGAAGAGGAGGAGGAAGAGGATGCGCCGCCCGACGAAGGTTCTGGGCCGCAGAAACCGGACCTCTCTGACCTCTTTAGAATGCCAGCGGGTGACATCGTCCCTGCCAAGAACCAGGGTGAGGAAGATGAGGAACCCAGAAGGCTTTAAAAGAACTTTAACAAGTTTCAGCACCTCCAGGAGGGTGAAAGCAAACATAGCAGGGGGAGGAGTCAGTGTAGGCGGAGCTTTAACAAATGGGAGGGTCTAACAGGGAGGTGTGTCAGAGGGATTTATTAAAAACGAACTCACTGACTTCCACTGGAAGCTCAATGATACCCTTGAAAATAAGAAACAGGCACATTTTTGAAGAAATGTTGCTGTTTTTGGGGAGAAGGCAGCTGAAAGTCTGGACCACTGAAGCTCAGGTAGGAGTCAAAACACCTGCAGGGGGCGGGGCTTACAGTCACAGACAGCAGGAGGTGTGTGACAGAGAGATTAAGAGGTTTGGGACAAAAATAACTGGGCTGAGTCTGTTCATCCAACATACATCCAACACCAACCCAACATCAATCCATTATCCACCCAACACCCATCCAACATCCACCTAACATCCATCCAACATCCATGCAACATCCATCTAACATCCATCCAACA